CACGTCTGTATGTGCTCTAATCTGCATTTGTTGGTTGTGAAACTGCTTTCTCTGGTGAGTTTATTAAGTGTGAATGTCCCAGTGTTTCTTTGCTGTACCCAAAAACAGTGTTAGTAGCACACCACACCGCTCTTGGTAAATTGTTTGTGTTTAAAAAAACAAGGAAGGGTCATTATTTATGCCATATTTCCAGTCTGAACTTGGCTAGCTTCAACTTCCAGCAGTTGGGTTGGGTTATACCAGGGATCAGCAACCTTTGGCACGCGGCTCGCCAGGGTAAGCGCCCTGGCTGGCCGGGCAAGTTTGTTTACCTGCCGCGTCCGCAGGTTCAGCCGATTGCGGCTCCCAGTGGCCGCGGTTCACCGCCCCAGGCCAATGGGAGCTGCTGGAAGTGGCGTGGTCTGATGTGCTGGCCACTGCTTCCCGCCACCCCCATTGGCCTGGAGTGGCAAACCGTGGCCAGTAGGAGCCGCGATCGTCCGAACCGGTAGATGCAGCAGGTAAACAAACCGGCCCGGCCAGCCAGGGCACTTACCCTGGCGAGCCGCGTGCCAAAGATTGCCGATCCCTGGGTTATACCTTTCTCTGCTAGATGAAGAGCCCATTATGAAATATTTGTTCACCATGTAGGTATTTACAGACTGTAATCAAGTCACCCCTTAACCTTTCCTTTGTTAAACTATATAGATTGAGCTCGAGATTATCACTATAAGTGTATTTTCTAATAATTCTCATGGCTCCTCTCTGAACCCTCTCCAATTTATCATTGAGAGGTCATCTAGCCCAGTCCCCTGCACTCATCTAAGTATTATCTAGACCATTCCTGACAGGTGTTTGTCTAACCTGCTCTTAAAAAATCTCCAATGATGGAGATTCCACAACCTCCCTGGGCAATTTATTCCAGTGCTTAACCACCCTGACAGTTAGGAAGTTTTTCCTAATGTCCAACCTAAACCGCCCTTGCTGCAATTTAAACCCATTGCTTCTTGTCCCATCCTCAGAGGTTAAGAAGAACAATTCTTCTCCATCCTCCTTGTAACAACCTTTTTTGTACTTGAAACTGTTATGTCCCCTCTCACTCTTTTCTTTTCCAGACTAAACAAACTCAATCTTTCCCCATAGGTCATATTTTCTAGACCTTTAATAATTTTTGTTGCTCTTCTCTGGACTTTTTCCAATATTTGTCCACATCTTTCCTGAAATGTGGCACCCAGAACTGGACACAAGACTCTAGTTGAGGCCTAATCAGCACGGAGTAGAACAGAAGAATTACTTCTCGTGTCTTGCTTACAACCCTCCTCCTAATATATCCCAGAATCATATTTGCGCTTTTTTTTTTTTGCAACAATGTTACACTATTGACTCATATTTAGCTTGCAGTCCACTATGACCCCTAGATCTCTTTCTGCAGTTCTCCTTCCTAGGCAGTCATTTCCCATTTTGTATGTGTACAACTGATTGTTCCTTCCTAAGTGGAGTACTTTGCATTTGTCCTTATTGAATTTCATCCTATTTACTTCAGACCGTTTGTCCAGATCATTTTGAATTTTAATCCTATCCTCCAAAGCACTCACAACCCCTCCCAGCTTGGTATCATCTGTAAACTTTATAAAAGTGTACTCTGTATGCTATTATCTAAATAATTGATGAAGATATTGAACAGAACCGGACTCAGAACTGATCCCTGCGGGACCCCACTCATTATGCCCTTCCAGCTTAACTGTGAACCACTGATAACTACTCTCTGAGAATGGTTTTCCAACCAACTATCCACCTACCTTATAGTAGCTCTATCTAGGTTGCAGAAAGCTTATGCTCTAATAAATTTGTTAGTCTCTAAGGTGCCACAAGTACTCCTGTTCTTCTTTTGATTCTGTCTCACATGCTTTACTAAAGTCAAGATATACCACATCAACCACTTCCCCCTAACTGCAAGACTTGCTACCCTGTCAAAGAAAGCTATCAGGTTGGTTTGACAGGATTTGTTCTTGATAAATCCATCCTGACTCTTACTTATCACCTTATTATCTTCTAGATCGGGGTGGGCAAACTACAGGCCAGAGGCTGCATCCGGTCCGTCAGACATTTTACTCCGTCCCTCGAGCTCCCACTGGAGAGCGGGGTCGGTGGCTTGCCCCTCTCCTTGCGTGCTGTGGATCCGCGTAGCTCCTGGAAGGAGCAGCATGACCCCACTCCAGCTCCTACACATAGGGGCAGCCAAGGGACTCAGCATGTTGTCCCCGCCCCAAGTGCCACACCCACAGCTCCCATTGTCCAGGAACCATGGCCAATGGGAGTTGCAGGGGCAGCGCCTGCAGATGGGGCAGCATGCAGAGCTGCCTGGCTGCGCCTCCATGTAGGAGCCAGAGGGGGGATATGCCGCTGCTTCTGGGAGATGCTTGAGGTAAGTGCCATCCAGAGCTTGCACCCCTGACCCCCTCCCATGCCCCAACCCCAGCCCATATCTCCCTCCTGCCCTCTGAACCCCTTGATCTCAGCCCGAGCACCCTCCTGCATCCCAAACCCTCATCCCCAGCGAGAGCCCTCATCCCCCCAACCACCTGCCCCAGCCTGGAGCCCCCTCCTGCACACTGAACGCCTCATTTTTGGACCCACCGCAGAGCCTGACACCCCCCCAGCCGGAGCCCTCACCCCCTCCTGCACCCCAACCCCCAATTTTGTGAGCATTCATGGCCCGCTGTACAATTTCCATACCCAGGTGTGGCCCTTGGGCCAAATAGTTTGCCCACCCCTGTTCTAAATGTTTTCAAATTGATTGCTTATTTTTTTTGTTCCATTATCTTTCCAGGTACTGAAGTTAATCTGACTGGCCTGTAATTCCCCGGGTTGTCCTTATTTCCCTTTTTATAGATGGGCACTATATTTGCCCTTTTCCAGTCTTCTGGAATGTCTCTGGTTTTCCATGACTTTTCAAAGATAATCGCTAATGGCTCAGCTTAGCTAATGGCTAATCTCAGTCAGCTCCTTGAATATTCTAGGATGCATTTCATCAGGCCCTGGTGGCTTGAAGAACTTGTCTAAGTAATTTTTAACTTGTTCTTTCCCTATTTTAGCCTCTGATCCTATCAACATCCTTCTTGAATTCTGGACACCTGAAGAGGACAAAGTATTCCAGCCACGGTCACACCAGTGCCAAATACAGAGTTAAAATAACCTCTTCTCTTCTACTTGAGAGTCCCTTGTTTATGCAGCCAAGGATTGCATTAGCCCTTTTGGCCATAACATCACTCATATTCAGCTTGTCTACCATGACCCCTAAATCTTTTTCAATCTCACTGCTTCCCAGGAAAGACTCTCCCATCCTGTAAGTATCACCGCCAGTCTTTGTTCCTAGATGTAGATACTTACATTGGATCCTATTAACATGTATAGTGTTTGCTTGTGCCCAGGTTCCAGATACAGATTGCTCTGTCTCAGTGACCAGCCTGCACTGGATCCATAGCACTGCTGTTTGAAATGGAATGGAGCCTTCACTTAATGAGCTTCACATCCCAAAAAATAGCACTTTATAAATGAATGAAAGACCCTCCTAGTGCCACTGTGTCAGAGCTGTGCAGCCAGACACCTGGGTAGGAGCTATGCCCATGATACCAGTACTTGTAACCCTCCTCTCCAATTCCACCCCCTTTGTTTGCTGCTCTCACCTGTTGGTCCTTGCCTTGGGATTAGGCTGGCAGCAATTTGGAGTAGATAGTGCTTGCTGCTACAGCCCCCACCTCATCCTTGGAGGTGGATAGATAAGTAATAAATGCAGTAATAGATAGCAAGAGGGCAGGTGCCTTTAAACCCCAGAGAGTGAATAAGGAAAACAGTGTTTGTCAGGTAAAGGCTTCTTAGATAAGTAAAATCAATTAATAAAACACTCACCATAGGGTCGTGCTGCCATGTTAGGGCTCACTGACACCCTATCTCCTCTGTCTCGAGTTAGCATGTCTCTGTGGAGTCAGACACTCAGCAGCTGTGGTTTAGTTACGTGACATTTACTCTCTGCAGATAGAAATGTCTGAGCGAGGCAGGCGCTAACCACCAAGTCTGCTTGAATACGTGACAGTGAAGGGCACAAGCTAAGCATAGGCTGGGAACTTCAGCCCACACTGGAAACTGCCATAGCTTACGCGATGGAGGAGCCAAATTCAACCCGGTGAGTGACTGACAGAGGGAGAAAGGGGGTTGCGCTTCAGCAAAAATCACTTGCACAAAGGCCAAGCAGAACCAGGACCCTCAAACTCTAAGGCTGTCTCCTCTGAGATGAGCAGCGTCTCAGGGGGTCAGGGAATGAGATAGAGGGCACTGGTTCCAGTCCAGTCCCAGGGAGGTGGTTAATGAACTATGGGGACTTTCCCCTCTAGGGGTGTCGTCTCTGATCCAGCCTAAGTCAGGGGGACAGGTTGGCTTAGGGGGATGGGAAATGGGATACTTGGCCTTTTCCCTCTAGGGGGTGCCAGTACCAATGAAGCCCCAGGTCAGCCAAGTCCTTCCAAGTGGAAACTCTTTAGTTGCCTGTCTGTTGGTAGGTCTCAGCCCATTTCCCCAGTTTCCCAGGGACTGATACCTACATAACAAGCAACTGTCATTGGCCACCTTAGGAGAGAGCTAAGGAATGACTGGGCCATGGGGACTGCTCTGCCTCCCTCTGCACACCTACCCCCTCCTCCAAGGCAGTACCTGTTCTGTGGGTTGGGAGGGAACCCAAGCTTGGACTCTGGGAGAGGGGGAGCTATGAGGCATGGTGAAAGCAGAGCTGGAATTTCACCATCCACCATAGTCCTTTCCTTTCCTGTGCGTTCCACTTCCCCAGGCTACTTCTCCACAGAGCCTTGGCTGTGGTTTCAGCAGTGACCATGCTGCTTCTGAAGAGTTGCAGCCAGAGCAGAACTGCTCCCCCACCCCATGCTTAGAGAAGGGACTAGGCTCGCTGTGAATTCCTTCTCCACCCAGCTGTGACCAGACAGGTGCTCTGCAGCCTGGGGATTGATAACCTTGACCACGGAGATGAAGTTGGTGCCTGTAGGGAGGCTTGGCTCCCTCTGCTTCTGCAAGGCACAAGTGACTAGATTCAGTCTCTCAATACGACTCAGGAATAGAGACCCTGCCTGCTCCATGTTGCTGCAGAAGTGAGATGTTCACTGACCTCAGTGGGACACATTCAGAAATGCTGCATTGGAAATATTGCTGGTTCTCGCATTCTGTGTGTTCCTCAATTCCAGCCCAAAATCGCAGCTTCCCTTTGACACGTGTGCACACCCATGCCCCTCACCACTCCCACATATATAAACACAGAGCCTTCACACCCCACTGTGCACACACCCCTCATAATCCCACCCACAAACAGAGGCACCCACCCTTCACAACCCCTTACACACACACACACGCTCACAACCCCCCCACACTCACAATCCTACCACACCACCTACACCCCCTCACAGATGAAGACATGCATCCCTCATAACCCCACACAGATACAGATCCACCCCACTTAAAACCTCTCTCACACACAGACAGACACATACACTTGCCATCACAACACCCCCCACCACACACACACACAACCACACCTGCACATGGACAAACACACATCCCTCACAACCACCCCCCTTGCAGACACCTCCAAAAACACATACACCCCCACAGCCTGACTACATAGACACCCATCCACCCTCTCAACCCCCACCACCGGAGACACTCCTCCATCCCCCCATCACAATCCCCTCCCACACATACAAATGCCCCTGTGATGGGTTCCCCAGGGTGCAGCCTGGGACCATGAGACAGCTGTGCCCCCCTGAACAATCTCCAGCCTGGGCTGTCTCTCAATGCCTGGCTAGTGACCAGCAGCAAACCCTCCAGGCACTGTGATCACTCAGCAGAACAGCATGTGGAGCCCCACACCCAGCTATATTGCATGGATGCTCCCAGAGCCGCTCATGAATCACACCGAGACAGGCACCAGCCCAATCCCCTGAGCTCTCAGCACTGTACCTCAGGAATATACCATCTTGCACTGTTAAACAAACTTATTGACCATAAAAGATAGGTTTTAAGTGACAGGCAAAAAGTCAGAGTTCATTACCAATAGAAATAAAATATAAGCATGCAATCTAAACTCTCAGCCCTATTAAACTGGGCACCAACTAGACTCAACAGTTTTCTCACCCTGCTGGATATTGCAGTTCATAGTACACCAGTCCCCTCAGTTGCAGTCTTCAGTCTTTGCAAGTTTCTGTGCAGTAAAGCAGCTTTGAACGCTGTAACCCCCTGAGGTGTACACATTGCCAAGCCACTTAGTGCATAGAAACTGCACAGTTGTAGCACTTTAAAAAAAACCCAAGAGGCATACAGCTTTCTGCACCAGGGCTACAGCACTGCGGTGCCAGTGTAGACACCATGGCGATTACAGTACTGCAAATGGCCTCCAGGAGGGGTCCCACAATGCCTGGTCTCACTTCTCTAGTCATCGGTTTGCCTTCAGGTGACCAACCATCATCTCCACCCTGTAAATTCCTTTGGAAATTTGAAAGTCCCCTTCCTGTTTGCTCAGTGATGCATGTAGTGGTCTCAGCACATCTTTCCAGGTGACTATGCCTGCTCCATGCACCAGGTGATCCCCCACTTGGAGCAATGCCAAGCTGCTGGACCTCATCAGCATTTGGGGAGAGGAGGCTGTCCAGTCCCAGCTGCGCTCCAGCCATAGGAATTATGATACCTATGGATAGATTTCACAATGCAGGATAGAAAGGGGCCATGACCGGGACACAGTGCAGTGTAGAGTAAAAGTGAAGGCGCTGTGGAATGCCTACCGCAAGGCATGGGAGGCAAACCACTACTCTGGTGTTGTGCCCACGAGCTGCCGGTTCTACAAAGAGCTGGACACAAGAAGGCCCCTGTGGATACTTTGTTGGCTCACATGCCAGTCGAGAGTGGACCAAGTCAGGAGGAGGAACTCTTGGACGAGGATGTGGAGGGGGACCCAGAGACCGAGGATGACAAGGAGGCCAGAGATGCATGCAGTCAGGAGCTCTTTTCTACCCTGGAGGAGTCTAGCCAGTCACAGCAGTCGGATCTTGGCGAAGTGCAAACCAGAGAGGAGGCCCCTGGTAAGTGGATCTGTTTCTAACCATCAAAGGAGTGAAGTTCTGGAACAGCCTTCCAAGGGGAGCAGTCGGGGCAAAAGACATGTCTGGCTTCAAGACTAAGACTAACTAGTTTATGGAGGGGATGTTATGATGGGATAGCTTAATTTTGGCAATTAATTGATCTTTGACTATTAGCGGTAAATAGATCCCACCCCATCTAACATCCCATCACAGACCATTGGGCCTGAGTTACTACAGAGAATTCTTTCCTGGGTGTCTGGCTGGTGAGTCTTGCCCACATGCTCAGGGTTTAGCTGATCGCCATATTTGGGGTCGGGAAGGAATTTTCCTCCAGGGCAGATAGGCGAAAAACCTCCAGGGCCTCTGCCATTCTCTACAGCATGGGGCACGGGTCACTTGCTGGAGGATTCTCTGCACCTTGAAGTCTTTAAACCATGATTTGAGGACTTCAGTAGCTCAGACATAGGTTAGGGGTTTGTTACAGGAGTGGGTGGGTGAGATTCTGTGGCCTGTGTTGTGCAGGAGGTCAAACTAGATGATCATAATGGTCCCTTCTGACCTTGAAAATCTGAGTCTATGATTTTGGGAATTGCTGAAGCGAGTTGTCAGGGGCAGGAGGGTTGCAGGAAGCAGGCTGGTCTCCCACCGCCTGCCTAGTCTGAGCAGCGGAACAGGCTGTTGATTGACTCCCTCACTTCACGGGAATCTCCCTCAGATCTCCAGGAAACTCGTGGAGACACTGGGCAATCCATTGCTGCAATTCTTTGGCAGAGCTGCTTTGTTTCTTGCCCCATTAACGGTATCTTTCCCACGCCACTGTGCTGTCACGTGGGGGGGGGGGGGCATTGCTGCACACAGGCGAGCCACATGGGGCCAGGGCGGAAGACGCAGGCTTGGAGGAAACCCTCCCGTGATTCCCTGCTCACCCTCAGCAACGAGCTATCTTCCATAATGAACACATCCTGTGGAAAGTGTGGGGACAGGAATGATTGTCAGCCCCCCCCAAGTGCTGGTTCTCCCCAAGAGCCACATGCCCAGTGTACAGCAGGGCCTGTGAAGACTGATTTACCCAGCTCCTGCAGCTAGTCACAATTTGGGGGGTCTTGTGGCTCATGTGTGCTTGCCTGGGGTCAGCCAGTTAGTGACAGGTGTGAGAGGACTGGCTGTGTTTTAAAGCACCGAATCACTGTTGTGTGTGTTGCAAACAATACTACTTCTGTAAAATGTGGCATTTAAACTTCACAGAGATGACCTTGGGAGCCCAGCCTCCCTCTTTGTTAGCAGCAGCAGAACGGCTGCGCAGAATTAGAAAGCGGCCCAGAAGAATTAAGGAGGACTTTCTGATTGATTTCAGAGTAGCAGCCGTGTTAGTCTGTATCCGCAAAAAGAACAGGAGTACTTGTGGCACCTTAGAGACTAACAAATTTATTAGAGCATAAGCTTTCGTGGGCTACTGCCCACTTCTTCGGATGCATATAGAGTGGAACGTATATTGAGGAGATATATATATACACACAAACATACAGAGAGCATGAACAGGTGGGAGTTGGAGCGCCAAGCAGACAGGCTCCAGGCGATACTAGCTCTTCAAACTGAGCAGCTCTGCGCCTGCCCTCCCCTGCTTCTGCTGTTGCAAAACTCTCCCCCATGTGCCCCCCAGATGCTGCCAACCCACTCTTATTAACCTCCTGGCTCCAGTCTCTACCTGCAGCATTCCACTCCTCCCTCCTCACAGTCCAGCACTGCGGACTCCCACTACCCACTGCACTCAACATCCATCCCTCTGCAGTTTGGCCCTGCTGAAGTACAGTACCTGCTGCATTGTACTCCAAAGGAGAAGGTTGTGTATGATCCCTGGACATACACAAATCTTTAGCGGTCCTGGGACCGCTCCTCCTCCTGGGACCTTCCCTTCCCCCATTCCCCTCCCTGCTGATGTATTTTTTCATTTGACTCTATCCTTCGGTTGTTGTCTTTTAATAAAAGAATTGTTGGTATGAAAGCAATCTTTATTCTATTAATTGAAAGCAAAAAGAGCACTGCAAAGCAACATACAATTATGTTAAACCCCTTTATTGCATCTTGTGCACCAATCACATCCTAGCATTACAAGCACTGCAATCCCAAGCATAGCAACAAATATTAGTGGCTTTCAGCTTCAAATTGCTGCCTCAAGGCATCCCTGATCCTTATGGCCCTGCGCTGCCCCTCTAATAGCCCTGGTCTCTGGCTATTCAAACTCAGCCTCCAGGCACTGAGCCTCTGCGGTCCGGCCCTGAGTGAAGCTTTCACCCTTCCCTTCACAAATATTATGGCGTGTACAGCGCGCGGCTATAAGCATAGGAATATTGTCATTGGCTAGGTCCAGCTTCCCATAGAGGCTTCGCCAATGGGCTTTTAAACGGCCAAAAGCACACTCAACAGTCATTCTGCACTTGCTCAGCCTGTTGTTTAACCGCTCCTTGCTGCTGTCAAGTTGCCCCATGTATGGCTTCATAAGCCACGGCATTAAGGGGTAGGCGGGGTCTCCCAGGATCACAATGGGCATTTTGACTTCCCCTACATTGATCTTCTGGTCCGGGAAGAAAGTCTCTGCTTGCAGCTTCTTGAACAGGCCAGTGTTCCAAAAGACGTGTGTGTCATGCACCTTTCCGGACCAGCCTGTGTTAATATCTGTGAAAAGCCCCCGGTGATCCACAAGCGCCTGAAGAACCATTGAGAAATACCCTTTGTGATTAATGTACTTGGTGGCTAGGTGGTCTGGTGCCAGAATTGGAATGTGTGTGCTGTTGTAGGAGCAGCAGTGATCTGTATGCTCTGTATAACCTGTATGCTCGAAAGGTCTGTTACACTCCCCCCCCGTTGTCTCCTCTCCCTCTTTGAATACCTGTGAAGTGGCTTTCCCCCACCCCTCCCTCCTGGAATGCTTGTGGGATGCATGGGCTGGTTGAACAGCTGGAATATCAGAAGAGCTTCCAGGTAGACAAGGTGTCTGGGACTCTAATTAGGCAGCGATCACACACCCTATGCATGGACACTGCATGGACACTGGTTGAGCTGGAGTGTGACCAACCAGACGCAGCCAAGTCATCTCTAGTCGCAGGCCATGAGGAGCAGGTCCTTAAAAGGGGAAGGGGCCATGTGCTCAGCAGTACACCCACAAGCTTGTAGCTCCTGTGAAGGCCCTTCGCCCAGACCACCTGGCCAGTGGTTTGCTGCGTTGCATTCCATCGTGCCTTGGGAAGACTTACCTTCATCACACCCAGGGTCGGCTCCAGGCACCAGCCCAGCAAGCAGGTGCTTGGGGTGGCCAAGGGGAAGGGGCAACACATCAGGCTGTTCGGTGGCAATTTGGCAGTGCGTCCTTCTTGAAGGGAAGCACCTGCCGCTGAATTCCCACCGAAGAAGAAAGTGGCGCGGTGGAGCTGCTGCCAGAGTGCCACCGATCGCAATTGCGATCGCAGCTTTTTTTGTTGTTTTTGTTCCCGCCACTTGGGGTGGCAAAAACCCTGGAGCCGGTCCTTATCGTACCATCCATTGCTGTGCTGTGGGATACTTAGGATCCTAACATCTCCAGTGCCATGCTTGTCCTGGGAGTGTGGGGATGTATCATCCCTACACCAACCTAATGGAAAGTTCCATGAGGAGGTAAGGGTCACGATGGGACACT